CACTGAAACTCTCTCTTTATCACATCATCATCTGCCCATACAGCTACTGAGACCAGCATCCCGGGATATGCCTAGAATTACCATTTTCATCTCTTATATATGTTCAATGTCCATTTTTCCCTCTCTTACTCATCTTTCTTGCTTTTGCTTCGTTATAGCCAGTATCTATTGAACATTTATATGTATCAGCTACTTAAACAAATACATCATATATTTTAGCTTATTTAATCTTCAAAAAACCTAAAATTATTGTTGTTCCCATTGTTTACATAATGGGAACAGAGAAGTCAAGTAACTTAATGTCACACATCAAGAAATAGTAAAACCAGGATTTGAAAGCAGGCAGTTGACACTAACATACTTTTAACTGCTGTAACTTCCTGTTTTAACTCTCCATCATTTACTTCCTTTATTAGGACAGAATTACAGAAACATTTCAATTGGTTTCTCTTTTCCAGTCTTACTGAATCCTCCCTGAGTTTCATCTTTCATATGAATAACTACTAATTATTTTTGTGGCAGTTCTATAACTTCATTTGATAATCAGCAGTTAATTCTCATCCACTTTGTCAGAATATCTTTGAAAGTGGTTAACAGGTACATAGATGACCAAGGCATAGAGCTTGTTTGATGAATCTTAATCATCATTGTGTTTTCTGGACAAGCACACAGAGATGTCATTTTGGACATTCCTTAATCCTTTGGGCCAGACAGCTCTGTTGAGTCAGGTATCAGTGCACATACTGGAGTCTTTATCTCCTTCATGGTAGATGAAGGAGATGTGTCCTACAGGAAGTGTGTCCAAAGGACATGCTTTCTGCAGCCCACACCATTGATGCACCTATGAATGTTAAGAGAGCATTCCACCTCCCGGATAGCAGAATGGCCTTCTTCTTACCACCCTTCCTTGTGGGAGCTATTTTCCTGGGTCTGCTGCCTAAAATCCATCAGCTCTTCCCCCAGTGCTTTCATACTAAAGTTTTAACTCCTTAATGCCATGTAGGGTCTTCCACGATCTGGCCATTGCCCACCTCTGCAGTCTCTTTTGGAACTTCCTCACAGACATGGTCCCATGCAGCCATATTAGACCACTTCAAATTTCTGAACAGACTTTACCTCCTCCACGTATCTCCCCATTTTCACATACACTCAGAGCTCCTATTTCAAGAGCTATTATGGGAATTGTTCAAAGGTCTCTATTTCAAGGGCCTATAGGCTCCTTTTTGCGCTTTACAGCTTTATTTTTGGATGTTTCCAATAGTCCAGGAAAATTCACTTTTCTCTCTCTCCCTTGCTGGCCTATTTGAGTTCCTCGAAAGTACTGGTTCTTTATTTATTTAGACAGAGTCTCACTATGTCACACTTGGTAGAGTGCAGTAGTGTCACAGCTCACAGCAACCTCAAACTCTTGGGCTTAAGCAATTCTCTTGCCTCAGCCTCCCAAGTAGCTGGGACTATAGGCACTGGCCACAATATCTGGCTGTTTTTTTGTTATAGTTGTCAGTGTGGTTTAGCAGGCCCAGGCCAGGTTTGAACCCGCCAGAGCCAGTGTAATTGGCCGGTGCCCTAACCACTGAGCACAGGCACCAAGCCAGTATTGGTTCTTTGTATCTGTAGTACCTACAAAAGTGCCTTGTGCATAATAGTCATCAGTGAATTACTGTCAAATAAGGAAGAACTAAGGTCTATAACTACTTCATTCCCCTTTATGCCATTTTCCCAAAGTCTATGACAATGAGATCCCTTGAATATCATTGATTTTACCCTGGCTTACTTACCTGCAGGGGAAAGTCATCTTGGAGTGGTGGGTCAGAATAATACATAGGCCATGTGGTTTCATATGGCACATCTGGGCCTGGACAGAAGGGTCTGAGAGTAAAGAAGAGGTATGTCAAAAAGCAGAAAATGGCTAAGTGGCTATATTTACATCTGTAAAGGAAGCAATCTGCAACATAGGAGTAATGATACTAGGACATAAAATCAGTATTTTGAGGAATTGCTTTAAAGAAAATAACTAAGGAAATTTAAAAGGGTGCATTTTTTTTTCTCTTTTGTATGGCAATTGCTTTTTGGGGAAGCCAATGCAGAAATTCTTAGGTTGTAGAATTTTTTAATAAAAGAACACACTAGTTTTATTTATTTTGTAGGATTCTGGTGTCTTTGTGACAGGCAGCCACAAGTGGAATTACCTTCACTGGTCTTGGCTCAGCCCTTCTCTGCTCCTAATCATCCCCTTAAGCCCACATACATTAGACAGAGCAGTTGTCCTTCACCACTAAGGAAACGCAGCTGAGTTATGTTACCGTGGAAACAGAATCATTTTTTGCTGCAAGACACATTGCTTCATCTGCACTATTATGAAGCAGAACACATTGGAAGTGCTGGGAGGGGAATCAAATATTCTGCCTGCCAGGGTTATATTTGGCCTTTGGGTGAATAAATGACTTTCAATTAGAGTACTTAAATATCATTTAAATTTAATAATAATTATTAGATACCCACCAGTATTTTACTTAGAAAAGAATAAAAAAAAAGATTCTGTTATTAAGGGGGGCAGTATAAATTCCTTTGAACTGGACCATTTCTGCTAAAGAAAATAAAAGGAAATATGCAATTATTGGTTTCACTGTGTATATCTTAGTTCCTTTCTGTGTTTGACTTTCAGAGTTTATAATATTGTGGATTTGTGAGGTTGTCTTTGCCCCTTTCTTTTTTGGTCTCTACTCTTGGCTTCCTTGTAGTGAACATACATATTTATGACTTCATCTTGTGTTGGGCCCTGTGTACTCAGATCCACTGTTCTTGACTTGCTGCTGAGTCTTTCTATGCCTGTCACCACTCCCTCTTCTGGGCCCTAATCTGCCCCCCAAAGCCCCCGCTGCTGTTTGCTACCTGATTCTGCTACTGGCAGTCTCCCTGCACCTTATGCCTAACCCTAAATTTAGTTGTCCCTTCCTATTTTGTTTTCTCTTCTTGTTAAATACTCATCTTAACTGTTTGTGTTGCTAATTGTTTTGAAGAACAAATCTACAAGACCTACGCTGGTAGAAAGATCAACTCTTTCCAATCCCAGAAACAAAACAAGAATCTCTCATCCCTCTTGCTCCAAAGATGACCATACCTTGAGTTCCCTTATCCAGCCTCAAAAAGCACTATTAAAACAGACAACCAAACGAAAACCCCAACACACACAGACTCACACACACACGCACACACACATACAATTTCTTTGTATTGCTTTAGAGTCTAAAATATAATCACAGGAAAATGCTATCTAATGAAAAAGAAGAGAAATTCTTTTATTGCTGGATATAAATTAGAAAAGAATGTGATACTTGAAAGTACTAGTGTTTTTATTCTAGAGGTAGTAAAACAGACAAGTGATAATTATTGAGCAACCAGTCAGCTGCAGCGGGCATTTTTTACATCCATAATTTCATTTAATTCTTAAGTTAATCTCAATAGTTACCATAGCTACAATGATTTCCATTTTATAGCAACATTTTTTTAAAAAGTCATTCTCAAAGTTACTGCACAAACCTTACATGATTTCTGACTCTGAGTTTAGTGTTCTCTCTAACCACGTCACCTTGTACAGTGTGCAGCAAAGGTCTGAAGTGGGTCAGGGGCTAAACCCTGATGGGAAAAAATGAAAAGAATATGGCCTCTAATCTCAGCTTTGCCACCCCCAGATGGGATTTTGGGAAAATCAGTCATTTGTTTCAAATTCAGATTTATTCATCCTTAAGGAATAGGGACAAATAACCTCTTATCTCTGCATGCACATAGGGAGCTAAGCAGTTAATGTGGGCAAAACATGTTGAAAATACTACGGACACTGCCATCTCTGTAGGAAGAATGACTTGCTCCCATTACTATAATAGGTGCAGATTTATAGGTCCACACCACTGCCAATCAATTGAGCCATCCCAATTAATTCAGCCCCTAAATTATCATCAATCTAAAATCTGCAATATTTTTGAGAACTGACCCTGTCACATATGTCTTCTTTGTCGCCCAATCATCTATTATGTGGTGGGTTGGTCAGTGGATTCTTATACTCATTTTTAAGTAATAGAGTGAGTGATTAAATCAAACTATTGTCCAATATCTACTTAAACTACCAATTATAGACTGAATTTTATTATGATATTAAAAAGAATATTAAATGCCTAGACACCACCAAGTTGCTTTCTGAAGATACAGTCATAACCTTGATTCATAGTATCCAATTGCTTTTTAAAAGGAATAATGTTCTATTCTTTGTATTATCACACATAAGGAAATATTTTATTTCTCTAAACTCTATTGCTTATCTTTTAGATAACCTAAAAAAATTCTAGTGGAATAAATATTGAGAAATTACTTACCTAGCACTTGAAATTTCACTTTATTTGCTTCTAACAAATTAATAAAAACTGCTCCACTTTAATCATGAACATGTTTACTATGAACATACACTGTACTCTGAACTTTACATATACTACCTCTCTTAATTTTCATAATGATCCTATGAAAGTGAATTTATTATTGTCACTGTTTTATAGATGAAAGAGCAGGTTCAGAGTTAAAATAACATACTGAAGTCACAAAGCCAGTCTGTAGCACAGCCTGATACAGATCCTGACAGGCCAACTCTAAACTGCTATTCTTAACCGCGATTCTGCACACCAACTGGTCACCTTTGAGAAAACCAGCTTTCTTCTGCTGTCTCTGTCTGTTAAGCTCCGCATCCTTTGTTTTATAAAAGGAAAAAAAAGGGGAAATGAGAGACAACAGAGAAGGAAGGGAGAAAGGGAAGAAAAAGGAAAGAAACTCAAGAAAATGAAAAGAAAAGAACAAAAAAAATTACTCAATGTTTTCTACCGCACTTGAATAATCTGGGGATAAAGCAGGACCTACACCATATTTTGACTACTTAAAGACTGTTGAATAATGAACATATGAAGTACCAGTTTGGTCTGACTCGATGTCATTTCACTTTGTTTTGCATTTATTAGGAGAAGTATTCTTGCAGATTAAAGGGCCACTGGAAGATATTTACAAAATCTACTGCTATCATCATGATGAAGCGCATGGTGTACTGGAGTCCTATGAAAAGGAGGAAGAGCTGAAGCAACATTTGAACAACTGTATCCAGTCCTTAAAGTAAGGCCTTTTCAAATGATGATTCCCATCTATTCTCAGTTGCCTAGCAGGGAACATTTTAAATGGATGTAGATGAAAGGTCTCACATAAATCCTATGTTTTATGAGGCTTGCTGGGATCTCTACTTTGCATTCCCTTTATGAAAAGCTGACATACCAGAAGCCCTGATTGACTTTTTTTTTTCAAGGATAACTAAAAATAACATGGGAGAAGATTCAGAGCTCTATAGAGATTGAAAAATGCAATACCAAAAAATATGAAATGTAGAGGAAAAATCCCTTCTTAAAGCTACAGTAACTTGCCTGGTCCCATATAATTAAAGGAATATTAAAATAACACATGGCCCCATGACCACTGGAGCAGATGGTTTAATAAAGTTAGGGGAATGTCCTATGACTCTCTGAATACGCCTCCCCTTCTTCAAAACTCATTTTGGAGAGGTTGGCAAAGATAAATCAGGCTTGCAAAAGTTAGCTTCAGAACAATTAGTCATGCCTTCCCTCTTCAGCCCTTAAACAGTGATGAGAGGGGCTACATATTATGTATTTTTCTGAAAGAAGCATCTATTCATTATAAAAATCTGAAAAAATATAAGAAAGTACATATTTATAAGATAAAAAACATCTTGCTATTCCATCACCTATTACTAACTACAATTTATATTTTCTTGTGATCTTGTTTATATGCACAAATGAGTTTGGGTTGATTCTTTTAACTGAAATCAATGTCTTACTACATATAATTACCTACCACATGAAATGTAAAGCCAAAATTACCTCCCTAACTCCACATCTTACCTCTTGGCTCTCTTAGAGTCTCTCACTATGAAGGGTTACCACTGTTGCCATATCTGTAATCCTGTGAGGCCAAGAGTTGGAGACCAGCCTGGGCAACATAGCCAGACCTCATTTCTTTAAAAAAAGGTAAAGAAAAGAAAAGGACAAAAAAAGGATTATCCACTCTCAGATAATCTTGATTAAGCCAGCAATTAACCAACCAAGCTCCCAATACCAGGGAGAGCCATGGTATTTAAATCAATGCATATGGGCTCTGTGCCTGTAGTTCAGTGGTTAGGCCACTGGCCACACACACTGGGGCGGCAGGTTCGAACCTGGCCTGGGCCTGCTAAACAACAATGACAACTACAACAACAACAAAAAATAGCCAGGGGCAGCGCCTGTGGCTCAAAAGAGTAGGGCACTCACCCCACATACTGGAATTGGTCAGTTCAAACCCAGCCACGGCCAAAAACTGCAAAAAACCCAAAAAGCCAGGCATTGTAGCAGGCACCTATAGTCCCAGCTACTTGGGAGCCTGAGGCAAGAGAATTGCTTAGGCTCAAGAGTTTGAGGTTACAGTGAGCTTGATGCCACAGCACTCTACTGAGGGCAACATAGTAAGACTCTGTTTCAAATAAAATAAAATAAAATAAAAATAAATCAATCATATGGGTCTGACTCTAGCATATTCCCTGTATAGTGGTAGTTGGAGGGTAGATGGGCGGGATGGAAATAGGGATTCCAATGTATTAGGACAGGTGTGCAGCTACATTAAAGTGAAGTAAGGAGACTACGCTGGAAGAAGTCCTTCTAGGGCAAAACTAGGTCTGAAAACCTGTTTAAACTGAGCTCAATGATTTTTTAAAAATATATAAATAAAATTTCAACTTTATTGCCCTCTACTGGTCATTAAATTACCGCAGTTTCTAACCAAGGAAAAGAATATATTCAAGTCAATAAATCACAAGCATATATTTAGTGCTTGTGCTATGGCAAGCATAGTTCTAGGTGCTGAGAAAACAAAAATAAGACTTATACCCTGCCCACAAGGAGATCAATGTGTTCAGATAACTCTTAAATATAATATGTGAAAGTAAGTAGCTCTAGTTAACTATTTCTCACTATTTTGTTTAATTCAGTGTTAGCATAGCAATTCAGAGAAAGGCAAAAGTTTGAAGTTTGTATTCGTCTTAACAAATCCATAGATCAGGAGCAAAGTACTCTAAATGTCCAAGTACTTATTTTCCTCAGAAAAAATTACAGTATTATCCTGGGTGTGAATGGAGAGGATGTGGTTAATTTACTTTGGACATATGCTCCTAACTGCTCACCAGAGGTGGAGATGTCTGTTTCAGAGACGAGTGAAAGTTAGTATATTATTCATTGAATGTTTAACTCCACCAAGAAAAGAATAGACTCTGTCAAAATATCCCACCAGGCTTTTAGCTCAATACCATACCTGAAAAAGCAGTTACATACTTCTTGCTTCCCAAGATCACAGTTACAGGCAGAGGTAGTCTTGAAACCTCATAATGTCCTAATTACTGAAAATTACTTTCAGACTCAATGGCCTATTTGACTTTTTTTTTTAAATGCTTCAAGTTCTGGTGATGTCCCAAATTTCAGAACCATTTTGATTTTAGGTAATAATTTCGGGCACTAGAAAGAAGATGTTAAGGTTTAGAAAGCCCAAAAATCAAAAGAAGTCACATTGGCAGAACTATTTCTTAAGGGAAAGAAAATCAAAATAAAATAGCTTAAGTTAGAGCTATTTTCCCCAAAGTTGCCTTTCCATGAAAATAAAGTTAATGATGAATAGTACAGGTCTGCCTGAAGGCTGAGAATAGTAGAATTATTGACATTACTATAATACTGACCTCAACTGAGCTAAGCTTTAAATTCTGAGAAACAGGTTTTCAAACAGGTTTATAGGCCAAAGAGAATCTGGAACACCCCAAGGGCTTGATTTCCCTTGCCAAGTAATCAGTCAGCTATTAGTGTGGCTCTGCCTTTCTTCCTTGTGGCTGAATAACAGAGCCCAAGTGCAGATGCCAATTTCTAATGAATATTAGGTGTGGCTTCCATTTTATACCGTGCAAGGGGGGACTGGAACAACTTGGTTTGAAGCAATAACCACCAGAGAGGTGGCTTCATGCCTCAGAAGCTAAAGTAGATTTTAAAGTAACTTAGTTGCATTTCAACCAAAATTAAAATATGCTTATTGAGGGCCTACTAAATATTTATAGAGTGCTAGATAATGTTGAAAATATTTTTTAAAATATATAGGCATACTTCTTGCTTCCCAAGATCACAGCCCCTAGCCGCAGAGATAAACAAAACCATGTGGACATTTTAATAAGGAATTAATTGAATAACACCAGAAGCTGTCACCAGTGGGTGCATTTCAAGACTAATTTCTAAAAAAGTGGCAGAGATACTGCCTGTTTCTGTAACAGACTCAAGGTTATAACATTTGGTTATTTTTTTTTAAGCCCATTATCTTTCAAAAGAAAAAATAATGCTGAATCTCTCTGTAATGTTAGGGCTCTGTTTCTCTATGTCTGAGTTCCCTTGTGCCTGATCTACCCAGGATGTGAATTAAAAGTGCAGATTCCTATGCTCTGCCTTAGACCAAAGACACAGGATTGCTGGTGGTTCAGTGCAGAATCTGCACTTTTAACAAGCACCCTCAGGTGGTTTTTCCACACAAATTCAAGTTAAAAACTACATCAGAGGAAGAAATCATACTCACAGTACTGGATGCTTTCTCTGAAGCAGATGGCCTTTTTTCCCATCAATATCCATACAATCTAAGCAGTAATTTCAGAGTTTGTAGATCTTAAAAAAGAAAAGACTATAAAGCTATCCAGAAGCATGATACACATCTGCATCTATAGCCTACAAATTGGAAATTCCATGTTTTTATTTATTCAACAAGAAGTATTTAAAGAACTGCTTTGGGACCCTAAGATTGTGTGAAATATTGTATTAATCCAGTCTCTAAAGTTATGGAAGTTGCTTGCTGATCTGATTACTTAGCCTCTTTGAGGTTATTTAAGGTTTCTGATCTGTCTGAGGAGAGTAAAAAAGAGAATGGCTATAAATGTAAGGGAAGCTATATTTAGAATAGCCTGTCTGCGGCCTCCTTTTTCTGTTTTTCCACTTATAAACACAACCAAAGTCGCTGCTGCATTTCAAAGCCCCTCAAGATCTGTTTATTTTGTAACAGATAAACAAAGAAGGAGATCTTCTAAGTTTTTCTGATAGATGGAGGACATTATTTCTAGCTTCATTTCTACTTGCTTTGAACTTACCTATTTTTCTTCTTACTAAACAAGTCCATCATGCTCAGGAGGAAAATTTCTAACTGCTAGTCATCTGGGCTCTTTGGCTGCTCACATTACTTAACTCCATTCAGAGGGGGAGCTATGAGCTCATGCAATCTGAAATCTAGAGGAATGCATTTCAATTTGTTCACCACATTTTATACTTACTATTCTAACGGAGTGCTCCAAGTGAAAATTAAAATCCCTTTGGGAAATTCTTTCAGTTCCTTGTTTTATGGCATCATCTTGGAAAAAAGACTATAATCGTAAGGAATAGTCAGATAACAACTTTTGTTAATGGTGAATCAAATTATAATGATCTTGTGAAGGTAGGAAATGCAGTGGTAGATATTCCATAAAAGGGTAAGTGGACACAGTTTACTTCCTCCTTTCCCAATTATCCTTTGCTGGGATCAACTTCTGGAAAGTTTTAGACTAAAAGAGAAATTTTTTTTAAAATGATGAGTAAATCAAAAAGAGATGTTTTCATGTAGAGCCCTTACTCCATAGCCTGTGGTTTCCTCTAATGGAAAGCCCCTCAGGTTTCTTTTTTACAAATATTAAACACGGCAGTAATTTATGTTATAATATTTAGGTTTTATTTGGTTGAAATAAATAAAATAGAATTTTTTTTCACATTTTTCTTTTGGGGTTAAAATAACAATCTTTTCTTTTCTTGTGATCTTGTAAGTCAATGATCACAGTATTTGCTAGGTTGTTTCCATGGAAAATTGCATTTTTATTTTTATTCATTTTCTTCCCCAAGTTTTTTGCTCTGTGATCCACAAAACATACTGGGCAAATAAAATTCTTCTGTAGGATAGAAATTAGGGAAAGAAAAGAGCTTAAAAGAAATGACTGGGAGGAAATATCAGACAAGAGGGCAATTGATGGTGTAATTTCTTCCATTGCAGTAGAACTCTTCAAATAGCTGTAAACAATTGCCTATAATTGTGACAGTTTCAGATTTTTTAAAAATTATAATTCTGTTCTTGATTCTCAACTAGAAGATCTTAGACTCAGCAAAACCTAGCTACTTCAAGATACCTAGGAAACCATTTATATAACATGTCTGAAGATAGAGGAAACAATTGCTTCACACATAAACACTGCTTTTTTCCACATATACAAAGTGCTTGGATTAATGAAAATAAATGTCTTCAATCCATTAAAATTTATACAGGTTAGCACAGGTAATTATCATTAAATTTTTTCTGAATCACTAAATGTGAAAAGACCATCTACTATTATGGGGTGAGGTCATAAAATCTTTGATATTAACATTCATTGTATAGATCAGAAACCAGAGGATCACAGAAATCAGAGATCAGACAATAAAAACAAGATATTATTTTATTTCTCTATAGCCACATGAGGTTTTTAGAGAAAAACATCCATCTTCTTGTTCCTTAAATTTGACCTGAATAATTTCCACTTTTTAATTAATAATTAATTTGACAAATATGCTCCCCCCAAATGTCAGGCAGTTTTTAAGGTACCAGGGCTACGGCAGTTAACAAATCAAGGCTTAATCCTTGCCCAGAGTTGTTGGTGAGGGGGATAAACAATAGACTGAATAAGAACAATCCATAACATATTAGTAAGTGACAAGTGTTAGGGAGATAAACAAAGCAGGCAATGGAAAATAAGCAGTGTGGTGAAGTAGGATGCAATCTTTAAAGGGCTGGTAAGGGAAGACTTTCCAGGGAAGGACACTTGAGCAAAGATCTGAAAAAAATAAGGGAATAAGCCACAGAGGTGTCTGGAAGAAGAACAGTCCCACAGAAGCAGCAGGAAGTGCAAAGAGCCAGAGGCAAGGGCACCCCTGACCAGCTTTAGACAGTGGAGGAGGCTTTGTGGTGGCTACACACTGGGGGAGGAGGTGTGCTAGGAAGTAGAGAGTGGGCAGAAAGAGAGGCGGATCATATACTGCTTTTCCTTGGAAGGATTTCAGTTTTACTTGAGCAAAAAGGAAGCCAAAAAAACTAGCAATGCTGAGTGAAGGCTTTTGTGAGAATTCTCTACTGAATCGGTGAATTGTTCATTTGTGTAACACTATAGTGTGTACAGAGATGTACAGAGATATACAGCCCTTGATAGTTTCCTGCAAGTCAGTTAAACATTTCCTTTGTAATCTTGTCATCTTGGTTTCCCCTATTGCCATGTTTAATAGATCTTTTTTAATACTATAAACAAAGATTTAAGTTTATTTTCAAATTATGCAAATTTATTAACGGCAATCTGAATCAACAGTTTTTAATCTTATATAAAATGAGAAGCAAAAATAGTATATTTACTAAAATAAAACTTTAGGGTCATGATTATAAAATAATGAGGTTAACTCTATAGAGCATTCATGAAAATTACTTATTATTTCATGTAAGAAAATTAAAAAGTTTTATGAATGCTGCATATTACCCCAAATATATGGATTTACATGAATTTGCTTTTTTTCTTCTTTTACAGGAAAATATACGTGCAAGAGTAAGTACTTTTTTTAATAATAGAAATCAAATATAAAAATCATGAGAAAAAACTGCTGAATGTTTCTGTCTAAATCAGAATTGTTGGTTTTTACAAATATGTGTATTGCTCTTAATAAATAAGTCAGGATTTCAAAGGCAGTTAACCCAGATATAATATCACTGGTGCATCAGATTTTGGTATTACTTTGTTTCTAATTTGTGTGAGGTGATCTCACTTATACATAAACTTTAGTATACTTTTTGGGAAGAATCCTGATATACAATTTATTAAGTTTGATGGTGACAGGAATTCTTTGGGAACTTCCCATCATACATATGTCAGGAATCCTAACTATGCTATCCAAAAACACTTAACATCTCAAATTAGTACCATAATATTCCTGACGTTCCCATAAGTTAAAGCATAACAAAATACAAATATGTATTATACTAAAATATTGAGTTTCTTCTAATTTAGACTCTTGTATGATTTATGGAGAAAAAAATTATAACATATATAACATAGAAATGAAATATTAAGATGAAATAGTCAATCACTATAACAATATCAAAACTATTTTATAAAACAACATATACTTATGCATACACTCTTTTTTTAGAGAAGAAAAGCATGTATAGACTGATTAATATTGAATGGATGATGTTGTCTTAAATGCAAAGTCAAATTTACCAGGACTTTGAAAGACACATGTTTAGCTTATCGTAGTCAGCAATACTCTAAGGTTCTGAGATCCTAGCAGGTATCTGTGTGTATGTGTGTGTGTGTGTTTATTTTAAAAAATGTATAAAAGAAATCATATTAACTTTAGCTATAGATGCCCGTCATTTATGCTTTGGTGCAGAACAATAGTAAGTAAAGATTTCTAGACTGGGGTGGAGGAATCAGGCATCATATAAACAGGTAGACCAAGGCTTTAAATACCTCAGATGAGTTGAGAAGTTGATATTTATGAACAGCAAACAAGGAACAAGTTTTCTCACTTACCAAGTCTTTTCTTCCAAAAAGAAAAAATATCCTGCAGGATAAACAGATATGAGTAGATTTGTTTTATGAGTTTCCAATTCTGAAATCATTTCCATTTGAAGAGGAGATGAGCCTTTCTATCTTCTCTTCAAAGACAGAAGATAGAAGATGGGGGTGATACTGCCCCAGGGTAATGCCTGTGTCCCTGGCATTGCGCCAAGGACTGGAGCTTCACATAAATCAGTGACTAAAGAGCTTCATGTGCTACTAATTCTACTTAGATTTCTTTTTCTAAAGCTTAGGTCTTCGCAGTCAAAAAATAAAGAGAGATGAGAGTCAGAGGAGAGGGAAGTATTCCTCTTAGTGCAATTAACATGTATAGATTCTACACACAGAATACCTAACACAAACAGGGTATTACATTGAAACACTTGCTTAAAAAAGGGGCCCTAGCTTTTGCAGCAATCCTGCTGTGCAGGAGTTAGCCAGGTTGTGTGTGCCTCCTCTAGCCTATTCTATACACAGAGAACCAAAAAAGAAGAGCAGTCACAGTGTGTGGCTCGATGAACATCAAAGTCAAGTTGGCCATGAATTATTTCCCTTTGTGTTTCTCTTGCTCAGGTCATGAAGCACACATGCTGCTACAGGAAAGGGTAAAAGGCAATGTCAAGTGCTGTGTAATTGTTGGGCTCCTTAGTGGTAAAGGGCAGGAATGTTGCAGCTGAAAGGGCATTTAAGAGATAAGGGTTTTTAAATGACATTCCAAAAAATCTCTTACCAATGGCAGCTGAAAATTGTCTGTTTTTTCTTATCCACATTTAAAAAAATACAGAGAAAGTCAAAGATATAACTTCTAAAATATTTACTTTGAATTATAATCTTATAATAGATTATTCAGACTGTATTAAAGTAACAAGAATCATAGAATCCCCCACCAAAGAATTCCCAAGCAAGTTCCTAAGTCCCATGTTCTAAAGCAAGAAAAAGATGCCTATTCTAAATGTAACTCTCTCCAATGCACTGTTCTGTTTTCTGCATGCTTTTACTCCGTTCTGTCTGTGTCCCCTGTCTAACCCCCCATTCCACCTCTGAATCTTAGGTTTCCTATTAATCTTAAAATATTATTTTCTCTTGTCTTTGTATTTTTAACATTATTGAAGAAACACTGAAAAATAAAGATAATTAAAAAAATGGGAACAGTAAAGATAATTGGTGGTCACATTCCAAAGTTAAGTATTTTAACATTGCCATGAGTATCTCATTTCACTGTAGTTTTTTTCATTATGCACACACATGTTGACTAAAATAGGCATATTTCCTGCATTCTTCAATGCATTGTAGATACCTTTCCATGCTCATAATATAAATCTCTATTGTTTTATAATTGTGTAATAGTCTATCTGATATATATAAGTTAGTTTACTAAACCCTTATTGACAGTTGAATTGTGTCTGTCTTATAAACATTGATGTTAAGTGTTCATTTTTATGTATTATCTTTATACAATAATCTGATTATTTCTTTAGGATGAATTTCTAAAAGCAGAGTTGTTCAATCAAAGGGCTTTTGACACTGCCTGAAAATTTCAGAAAAGTTGAGCTAATTTATATTCTCATTACCCATATATGACTTTTTCATTTATCCACTACTTGCCAACACTAGACACAATAAATATTTATATCTTCATAAACTTGTAATAGGCCAAAAATTATATTGTTATATTACTTATGATCTTGAGCATTTTTCTTGTGTATTTAAACAATCTGTATGTCATCTCTAATAAATGCTTTTTAAAAATGATTACTAGGATGTTATCTTTTTGTAATTGATATATAATGTCTCTTTAATTAGCAAGTATATTACTCCTATCTGTCTTATATAGTATAAATGATTTTTCCAGTTTATCCTTTGAGTTTTAACATAGTTTATGACTGCTTCTGGTTTTGTTTTTAATCTACACAGTTTTACAGAACTAGATTTTTATTTTATTTCATTTTTTATTTCAGGCTAGGTTACAATGCTTGCATTTATTAGGTATAGTCCCAGTTGTAGTTGTGTCCTGCACCCAGTGCCATATACCTTCACATTGTGTTCAGTCAGTGGACACACACCAATTCCCCTCCCTTCCCTTCTGTCCTCCCTCCCTAATTCCCCTTCCCTCAACTTGAATTGAATTGAGTTTTCCTCTTACGTGGGTATGTATTAGATTGTCTGCTGGCTTCAGATTAGATAGAGAACTAGATTTTCAAATAGATTTACCATATTTTTCTAATGTGGCTTTTTGATTTTGTGCCTTGGTTAGAAAACTCCAACATTAGTTTTTAAAAGTGTAATCTCATGTTTTCTTAAAATTATTCTATGGTTTCATTTTTTTTAAATTAAGTATGTTATCTCTCTGGAAATCATTTTGGTATAAATAATGATGTAGAAACACATTTTTATTATTTTTTCTATATGGTTAGCTAGTTATCATAACATTAATACTGAATAATTCATTTTTTCCATTAAATAGGAATGTCATGTTTACCACGTACTTAATTTCCATACACATTTGTATCTATTTCTTGATTCTCTAGTTTGTGTACTCATTAATCTCTATGTGTAATACCACCAAACTTTTTTTTTTGAGTGTCTTTATAATTTATTTTACTATCCAGTACAACTGGATTCCTAATCTTAGCTCAGCAGTTTTTTCTCCACCATTATTTTCTGGAGTATTCTTGCATGTTTCCTTTTTTAAAAACCTTTTTCTTTTTACACAGAAAAACTAGCCAGGCATTGTGGCAGGCACCTATAGTCCCAGCTACTTGGGAGGCTGAGGCGAGAGGTTCTCTTGAGCCCCGGGGTTTGAGTTTGCAGTGCTGCCACCACACTGTGCCCAGGGTGGGGGAGTAAGACTGCATGTCAAAAAGAAAAAAAAAATTTCTCTTTTTAAAAAAATGTTATGTAGCCACAGTTTAAGTAGCAAAATCGTTCTATAAGATTTGTCAGGAATAATAGTAGTACCTCTTCTATTGCCCCTAAACGCTCCTCTTCAGAATATACGATTTTCACATCTTGTAGTTGACTACTTTGGTATCTATCTTTCTGGCTCTAAAAATATGCTTGTTTTTTTTGCTTTTTAGGCATTATCTATTGACTTGCCCCGTGCGAGGAAAGAATTTATCTCTCTTTTCTACCTTTTACCTCCCCACCCCACCCCTACACCCTTTCTATCTCTTCATTCTATGAAGTTATATTGTAGTTTGGTTAAAGCAATAATATCTGAATTATTATGTGATGAGCAAATTTCTTTTCAGAACTAAAACTTGGAGCAAAATGATTGCTTGTTTTTCTGGGAATTAATGACTGTCAGCTACCATTTCCATTCTTTCCTCTTCCTTCTCCTCTCTCTCTGCTTCCTCTTTATTTTCTTACTTTTCTCTTCACTAACCTGTAAGGCCGAACTAATGGCTAGTTAACTACGTGGTGTTTTAAGACAATCAGATGCAAAATTCATACTAGGCCAGTTAACTATGTGGTGTTTTAAGACAATCAGATGCAAAATTCATACTATCAGTGTCCTCTCCCTAAAAAGGCCTCTCCCAGAGCTTCTGGACCTATTGAGCTTGGACTGTTGACACTAGGCATAGCCAACTTTTAAAAACTTCACTCCTATCCACCACCCCAGAGATTCTTTTTGCCCCTTTCCTATATTGGTTCTCTTATTTTGATGGAATGTATCCTTCAATAATGTACTTTACTTCTCAAAGAATGCATGGCAAGTAAAATTTTAAGAAGTTTATATCTGAAATGTTTTTGTTTTACTCTCACACATGATTTATAATTAGATTGGGGTAGAATTCTACATGGGAAATCATTTTCCATTAGAATTTAAAGATAAGTCATTGTTTTCTAGCTTTCAGTGTTGCTATGGGAAATCTGAAGCTTGAGAAATGGTTAAACATTGCTTCTCATTATCACTCATTTTCTCTGTTGTTACCATTTCTATATTGCCTTTACATCTCCTAAAATTCGTTAATAATTTTGTATTTATTTTACAGTTATCTTTTATTCATGACAAATGCTATTTGTTTATTTGTATAGCAGTATACAATTTCCTTTACAAGTGACTTAGGTTTTTTAAAAGGAGACTAGATTTTAAAATTTCAATAACAGTATAGATGTTTGTGCCTATAAAATAAATATCTAGGATACTTGTCCTAAAATAGAGGAAATTTAAAAAAATACAGTAGTATATGCCTTACTGTATTGAATATCTGATTTTTTCTGGTTTTTAACATAGTTTTTTTCATTATTTGTCAATTTTATTTTCATTGTGCAATTTTTTTCTTATATTTTTAATGTGTAGCTTTTCATAGAAAAACTCTGTGCTGCTAAAAAAAAAAAAAAAGACAGCTGTGTTTACTTGATTTTGTAAAATCCCACTAATAATTTATAATGAGATTAGTATAGCTACTTAAGTACTAAATACTTTCCAAAATATTTATAAGACAGAGGAAAATAAAACAGAATTGCAAATTAACTAAGTATTTTAGTTTTCAGACCAAGATGTATGGGAAAGTGTTACACATTCTGTTACTTATTATGAGGGAGACATGTGATAACTGGCTATCTGGCTGCTGTGGGACATGTCACACATCTGCCTTGTGTCATTATCAGAACTTAATCTAACTGGGTGAGATTAGATGGGGTGAACTTTGTGGCACTGAATGCATGGAGTGTCATTATCTTACATAACACATCCACTATCTTTTCTGCTATATTGCTTGTCTGTGTGATGCAGATATCAGAACATCATTGCTCACAGCTGGGAACTGTCCAAAGTGTATTTCTGAAGTCAAAAGTGTCTAGAGATTTCTCTTTCTGGAGAATGCTTTGTTTAGGATTTGTATTTGTGATGCTTTCTTAAAAAAACAATAATTGTTTATAATTGTTACTATTCTCACTTAAAACATGAAAAGGAGAGAATATGTATAATTCTGGTGCCAAGAAATGATGAAAAAAGAAGTAATAACACTATTTGGACACAACTACAGAGCCTAGGTTGGTATTTTGGAAGGTCTAAATAAGGAATCAAAAAGGGCAGCTCAAAGATGCAAGTATATCCTTCAATATATCTGGGTTTTATGTTTTTTGTAATTAAAAATGAAAAGTATATGTATAACAATAGGCCATGCTAATAAGCTATCTTATTAGCTTAGATTTTCTTTTATTGAAATGTTTAATTATATTTATATCTTGATAATATTTTCAGTGATTTCCCAAAGATTAAATAAATTGCTATTAGTGATAATCAAAGGAAAAACAAAAAAGAAATTCTAATCATATTCATATAGATAACATGATTTATTTCTATATCCTTGACTTGTTTCTTATTTATGGGAATTATTTCTACTTAAGTATCTAAACTGTATTGTTAAAAAAAAATTCCCTGTTTAAGATACATAAGAAAATGCTGTCCTTCATATTCAAACGTTTTGCTACTGATACGCCATCAGTTAGAAAATACATTTTAGTTGTTATTTTCTCAATATTTATAATAGATTTACACTTCACACTGTGTTCTTGGAAACCAATAATCTCTCTCTCACTTTCTCATTTTCTTTCTCTCCTTCCCTCACCATCACCCTCTCTCCTTACTTCCCTCCCTTTCTTCCTTAATAAATTTGACAGAAATGAGTAGGAAGTACAAGATAAAGCTATTTAAGCAACTCTTTTCTCCCTTGCAAACCTTTAATTTTTTTCTTAAATCAATGTTGCCTTTGATTTATTTTAGTTTTAGTGTCTAAGACTAAAACGCTATCATTTTATCTGCATGTGAACAAAATTCCTCAGTCATTTATTCAGGACCATATGCAATTTTTAAAAACTCAATATAAAAATGTACATTATAGAAAATCTGAGACTTTATCGTTTCTCGGTCTACAAATATGTATTGAGAAGAACATTATATGTCATGCTGGAGATAGTGTGACAGAGAAATTGATCATAAACTGGTAAATAAGAAAATAAAATGATTGCAGATAGTGTTAAGTGATATGATGACACTCAAACGCGAAGGTGCGATAGTGACTGGTGTGAGAGTGTGTGTGCACATGTCTGTGTTTGCATGCACATGTGCATGTACATGTGGTAATTAAAGTTCCTTGGTTTCTCATTTATCAAATGAAGAGTTGAATTAGATAATCTGTAAGATGACTTCACACCTTTTCTAATGATGCTAATTTTCCAATTCAGTTCAACATTTTTCATCTGTTTTACTACTTTAATTATGTGGTCTATTGTTTACCCATTAGTACTTGAAAAAATGGAGGTATGAAATATCCACCTATTGGGATTTGAAAACATTGTCTCTATTTCCTATGAATACTGTCTCTTTATTTGTCTTGGCATAGTGAGGCTTTTAGAAATCACTGACTTCTGGCTGAATGATCACGGAGAGTAGGCTGGACAGCGGCATGGCTACTTGCAGCTTCTTACCCTCCTGTGAACTACATGGCCAGTCAGAAGTGCTCTCTCTTCATCTCAGATGATGCTAGTCACTTGAAGATCTGGTGGCTAAAGAGTTCCACATGGGAAGTTATTGTGTGATAGAAGTGATTAGTGATAGTAATGGTGATAATAATTAGGCAACAGTCACATTCATCACAAATCTCTTTTGAGGACTGTAATAGAACCTCTGAACCATCGTAAATGCAACTTTTCAATTTGGTGGAAGAGAGATGACAATGCTTTCTTTGACTATACTTTGTAAGTCATCTATGTAGATTTTTAAATAATAAGTTTATGTTTCTTACTAATAATCACAAAAGTATCACTGGGAAAATGTATTTTTCTTGGCTTTCATGGAAAAATACATTGTGAAATTATTTCCCACTATATTATAAAGACTGTTATTTAAAAAAGTACAAGGACGAAAATTGTGCTTTGAGCCCCTCTTAGTGGACAGATATATTTGGGTTTTCTTAGGTTTTATTTAGTAGTAGAGTCTTTCACTTTTTTTTTCTATCATTGTTTGCACTAGCTTTCATGTAGAAATTTTATATAGGAAACAAGAGACAGAAATAATTTCAGGAGTAATCATTAAAAAATCCCAAAAGTAAAAGGAGTTAATAAAGTGATGTTTTTTAAACCCATATTATTTATTTCTACTATAGAGGCAAACCAAACTTATTGGACATGGGCTCTTTGATGATCAAACCAATTCAGCGTGTGATGAAATACCCCCTATTACTGTGCGAGCTTCGGAATTCTACCCCTCCTTCCCACCCAGATTACAGAGCACTGGAGGACGCCTTTGCTGCTGTGAAGGACATTAATGTTAACATCAATGAACTGAAAAGAAGGAAAGATTTAGGTAGGAAGAGATACGATCAGCGGTTCTCAACCTGTGGGTTGCAACCTGTTTATAACAATGAAAATACATCGTGGCATTAGGAAGGTTGAGAACCACTGGATATGATGAGTTGGTTGTTTTCCATGTCTGGAATGTTTTGTATATCTTTCTGAGAATCAGAATGTCTAAATAGCAGTTGTATTGAGCATGATCATTTGAAATCTAGTTAGATGCTGGAGTGGGTAGAGTGTGGGTTGGTCTTACCAGGAGAAGATGATGTTAAAAAAAAAATCAAACAGCTGTATACTTAAGCTCATTTAAGGCCACTGCATTGCTGGTGACATATATGGACTGAAGGTACATATACCATGTAGCCCTCCTATCACTGGAGGTATGTGTGGCAAGGAAACATGGCCGGGCAGCCCTAGCACAGGGAAGTGAGTGCAGAAAGCAACTGGGAAAGGGGCTTATCCAGGTGAGGGGCCTGGCCAGTACGATGGGTTCATCTGGTCCTAGCGTCCAGGGAGATGGAGATTTTTTCAGTAATAATTTCTCTACTGATGGAAGCAAGAATACTTCTCTCTATAATTAATAAATTATTGTTAATTATAATATCTGTAAAGTAAGGTGTAAAATTAGTTTTTAATTTATATTATATAAATTTCAGAGCAGGAAAGATAATGATTCCTGTAAATCCAGAGATAGTAATGGATTGGGATAGGCTGTGCGTCCTCCCTCTGTGTGATTTGTGTCCATAAAGTTCTTAATTGTCCTTGTACTCCTGTTATTAAACCTCAATCCAACCTAAAAGCAATAGCAGGACTTTAGAACTAACTGTTCCCACCACTTCACTTATTTTTGTTTTTATGTCTAATATTTATTAAAAACTAATATATTTGTAATAATAAATTGAAATTACAAAGAAATCCATAGAATAAAAAGTGCCAGTTATGAAGTAAAAGAGACCAAACAAACTGAAAAGACAGTATACAAAAGAGTACTGTCCAGAATATATAATTACTGATATTAGATCAATTATAAAAACACTTAAATATGAGAAAGGTTAGTAGTGAAAAGCAATCCACAGAAAGGCCAAAAAGTTTTAAAATGCTAAGCTTCACTAATAATTAGGAAATAGAAATTAAAATCACAGTGACATGCCATTCCCAGCCCAAAAGACCGGCAAAAAAAGACAAAAAAGAAGACAATGCTAAGTGCAAAATCTCAATCTTAATCAACAGTTTCATAAATTGGAATCATCACTTCAGAGAGAACAACAATATTACCAATATTTGGTAAAGCTGGAGATCCACACACCAGAGACTCAGAAAATTAATTTCTAGGTATCTGCTCTGGGGAACTCTTCTGCATGTCCTTAAAACAATACGTACTAGTAACTAGCATTGTTCAGATATGCAAAAAAGGCTTATGTATTTATCTAGATAATAGATAAATAAACTGCATGTTATACAGATTGATACCATGAGAAGATAGAAATTAATGGAATAAAATTATATGTATCCATTAGGTTAATCACAAAAAATCCAGAATTTTAAGCTTAAAAATAAGTAAATTAGCAGACAACAGAAGAATATGTGTAATATGGTACCATATTTATAAGGTTTGAAAATATTTGAAATAATACTATGCATTGTATGATTCCAGACATCCACAATAAAAGTATAAAAATAGATAAAGGTATAATAAACCATGTTATTTAGTATAACAATCCCCTTAGGGAGCAAACATGGGAATCAGGGAGGCTTCTAGTTATGTACTTTTTTTTTCTGGCCGGGGCTGGGTTTGAACCTGCCACCTCCAATATATGGGACTGGCACCCTACTCCTTTGAGCCACAGGCGCTGCCTGTGCTTTTTTTTTTTTTTTAATAAAGAGATTAGAAACAAAGTAAGATGTTAAGACTCGGCAGAGCTGGAAGTTAGATAATGGCTAATATATTATTCTTCCCACTTTTCTATTTGCTTAAACTATTTTGAAGTTTTAAAGAGTAAAATTTTTTCACTCCCATCTTTCTAGTTTCATAGCTAACCTATTATTAAGTTTGCTTCAAATTTTCCATGTCCTTTTTCCAATTTTCTTTTTCCTATCTCTATGTCTCCTATCTCCTCTGTCCCCTCCTCCTTCCCTCTCTCCCCTTTCATTCTTTCCTTCCTTCCTTCAACATTAATGGTATTGCAGTTTTGCTTTTGTTTTTTATTTTGTTTTGTTTTGTTGAGACAGAGTCTAGCTGTACTGTCTGAACTAGAATGCAATGGCTCATAGCTCACAGCAACCTCAAACTCCTGAGCTCAAGCGATCCTCCTGCCTCAGCCTCCCAGAGTGGTAGGATTATAGGTGTGAGCCGCTGTGCCCAGCCCACAGTTTGTTTTCCTCAAAAAATTTTATCATTTATCATAAACATTCTTCCGATTAATATTTTCTTTTTTTGAGACGGAGTCTCAAGCTGTTGCCGTGGGTACAGTGCTGTGGCATCATAGTTCACAGCAACCTCCAACTCTTTGGCTCAAGCAACCCTCTTGCCTCACTTTTGCTCAGGCTGGTCTCAAACTCATGAGCTCAAGCCATCCACCTGCCTCAGCCTCCCAGAGTGCTAGGATTATCAGCATGAGCCACCGTGCCCAGCTCTTCCAATTAATATTGTCTCCTTTTTATTGCTTCCATACTATCCCAATTATGAGTGTATCACAATTTATTAAACTATTTTTTTATTGATAGCTTGCTATTAGATAAAATGCTGCAGCAAACAAAACTTTGTACACTAGCTTGGTGCCTGTAGCTCAGTGAGTAGGGCGCCAGCCACATATACTGAAGGTGGCTGGTTCAAGCCCAGCCCAGGACTGCTAAACAACAATGACAACTTCAACAAAAAACAGCCGAGCATTGTGGTGGGCACCTGTAGTCCCAGCTACTTGGGAGGCTGAGGCAAGAGAATCGCTTAAGCCCAAGAGTTGAGGTTGCTTGTGAGCTGTGATACCATGGCACTCTACCGAGTGTGACATAGTGAGACTCTGACTCAAAAAAAAAAAAAAAAAAAAAAAAAAACTTTGTATACTTAATTATGGAAATTATATTTCTTTACATGACTTTCTGGTTATATACAGACCATGATTGCTTTTATTTTTGTTAGGATCTGCCAAAATGTTGTTTACAGTAACTGTGTTGATTTAATCCTCATCAGCAGTGCATAACACTGTCCATCTCCCTACACTCTTATCAGAACGGAATATTAGGGCTATGTAAGATTTTGAACAATATGAGAGGTAAAAATGATTTTAAGGTAAGTAAAGCTCAGAGAAACTACTCAACTTGCCCCAATCCCTCAGCTCATGGAGAGGCACTCTGGGACCTGAGGTCTCCGTACGTGGGGTACCACTGCCTTTTAATTAGTTTGGTCCTGATTGCCCGTTCCAGAAGCCCCAGATAATAGATGTATTATCTGAGAAGAAAGGCAGAGCTGTTTTCCTAGCATTAGGGATTTATTTAATACGGGCAACAAATGAACCCAGAACCCTGAGAAGTTCGTGTCCTTGAATGGCTGACTTTCTGAAGATCATTGAGTACTTGCAACACGACTGGGCAGTGGGACCAGAGCAGATAGCACCTGCAACAGAGGGTTAAACTCACATGAAGACTTTTATAAATGCCATATAAATGCTCATCTTGAAAACTCTGCAGGAAGCGCATACTTTCTGTGCTGCATGTTTTCACATATGTTATATTCTTCCATTTTAGTCTTGAAATACAAGAAGAATGATGAGGATGAATCACTTAAAGACAAACTGTCTAAACTGAATATTCATTCAATTAGCAAGAAATCAAAAAGAGTGACAAATCATCTAAAGATTCTGACCAGAGGAGAATCACAGGTAATTTTTGTTCTTTCGCCACATACATTTTCCAGAGACACAAACACTGATATTTTTGTGAGGTTTTGTTTTGTTTCATAAGGGAGATTCTAGGATGGCAAGAATCCAGGTAAATGCTCTATACACTCTATGTTCTCTCTCTCTCTCTGTCTCGCAGGGGTGGTTTTGACTCTGTCTTGGCTGTGGTCTTCACAGGAAGCAGACAAAGGAAAGATAGGGACATAAAGACATGTGACCTAAAGATGCTGCTTCAGGAATCCTGAGACTTGTCACCAACCAGCACATACTCTCCCCCAAAGCAACACCCCCCTTCCAGCCCTGTTTTACTTCTGATTTAAAAATAACTCCTTCCTTTACGGTTCCCTTGATATTCATTTATCTTTATTTCACCTATAAAAACAAAGGGTTTAGATGCAAAACTTAGTGTGATTTTCTTTGCCTACCTCATATCTCCTTCATCTTTCCTTACTCCCCAGAGGCACATTGTATTAGTGGGTAACTGTTCTTTGTCAGCTTTTAGCTTGGTTTGAACCACTTTCATTTCAACTATTAAATAATGGATGGATAAGCAAAGGCTCTTAGACTTTAATGTGTATAAGAATTACCCAAGAAGCTTGCTGAAAGATAAATTCTAAGGTTCCACCTGCTTCAATGCTGAAATTAGAAGCCTATATTTTTACAAACACTCCAGATATTTTGAAATTAATGACCTTTAAATAAGTGATCAATGGAACACACTTTGAGAATCACAGGGCAGAAAGCTCATGATACTGAGGTAGAAATACAGTGTGTTTACTGTATTACAGCAATACAGTAGGAGGGCAGTTCTTAGGATACTATAGTCCTTTTTACGCCCCTTCTCGTTTGCCTGTTTTCATCACGTATTAACTTCTCTAAGGCTTTTAGTTTGAACTAGAGGCAACTATATGTGGGTTCAGCATTGCTTGTAGATGGCTGTGGTAGCTGCTATAATTTTTTGTCCTTCATCAAGTCTTTGCATTTTCTGACAACTTAGATAGAAGCAGCCTCTTCCTCCTCTGAACACCTAATACACTTACTTCCCAATCCTGGTATTATTCATATGGGCAGGAGTCAGCAAAGGGCAAAAATTAAGATCAGGGTCTTTGAAATTCTGGAAACTTGGGTTTGAGCCCCATCTCTTCCGCTTAATAAATATCTGTCTGGGAGCGCCCAAATTCAATGTAATCATGTATAAATTGGTATTACACATGGCTTGGCTGTGAGGACTAACTGAGATGATGTGTGTGAAGAAAACACCTAGTGCAGTATGCAAGCCCGCAGTATGCACTGTCTGTCATTACCACCATCACCATCAGTAGCATTATTTTGTGTCACTGCCTTGTAATGTGACCTACTTTTGTGCAGATGTTTTGTTCCTAGGTGATGTAAACTCCTTCCTGTATGGTGTATTAATCATGCCTTTTACCTTCTCTATTGTATAATGTTTTGACATATTAAAATACCTTCCTGGCTGAGGAGAGACTGCCACTTCCAAGGCTAGCCAATACTTAGAGGTAGCAAACAGCTGGGAAGGAAACTTCATATACAAACCAACCAATTCCACGTCTGTAGTTCCAACCATTTCCCTATCTAACTTTTACACACTAAGCTAGTAATTCTCCAGCCTTAAATCATCCAAGGTCAGGTACCAGGCAAGGAGAGCCAACCCCTATAGCTTTAAGCCCATGGAAATTATTCAAAGTAGCCAATTCTCAACTATTTACTCTGCCCTGCCTTGCCTTTCCCCAGGAAACCCCAGTAGAGACTCTGGCCTAGACGTTCTCTTCACTCTTACTTTCTGCTAGTTGACTAAAGCCTGGTGCCTTCCCTGTGGCCCTGTGTGGCATATAATAACCTGTGAGATGATAAACTTCTTCCTTGCAAGCCTTGTTGTTTCCTCCTGGGGCTGTGCTGAATTTACCAGATGGTAGCCAAACAGACATTCTTAGAACACATGGTTTGAATCATTCTTCTATTTGCTTCTTTATGTCCTTCTAAGAGCTCTCTAGGTCCACTGCATTTGGGGGCTACTCCTCTTAACGTAGAACTGTATTGTGGGAAGTTGGGGACATTTATGGTTATTTGTTCACAGATTAGGGAAAGGATAATCAAGATATCTCATCTAAAAACAAAAGTAATAAAATTGAAATGGAAATTCACTTAAGAAGTGACTGTAGCCCCTGTAGGGCTGTGTAAATGTAGTGCAAACACTTCTGCCCCACTCTGTGGAATTTTGCTTCTTACTCAACACAACTCTATTGAGGAACAATACGCAGGCTCTAATTCTGGGCAGGCTTTTGAATAACCTGTTATGTTCTTTACCATATTTATCGTCAGCTTCTTCTATTTTTCAATTGTGAACTAGAAGTGAATTGTAGTTAAAGTAGCCAGAAGGGATATTAATTAGATTTTTCCCCTTAATCTTTTGAGAGGATGTCCTGTCAGCAATGAAGCATTTTACTGTTAATCAGAAAATCAGCTGCATAGGCTGGACTGGAGAAGAGATAAATCTTGAATCAATCAATTTTGCACTTGTCAGCAGCTCAGGTGAAATATCGGTAGAGTTAGGGTATAAAGCTATTACCCAAGAGGAAGATTCTGTTCAATTCATCATGCATGTATTGAACTCTCATGTACCAGGCACTATGTAAGAGATTGGGATACAAAGATGAAAAGGTATAGATTCTGAAATCAGACTGCTTGGGCTTGAATCCTGACTCTATCTATTACCATGGGCAAGTTTATTTAACTCCCTATATTACTTAGGGTAAAGGCCACACATCTGTCACAAAGAGATTCCAAAGCATGGTAGCTTAAATTAGGTAGTCATTTATTTCTCTCTCTTACAACTGTCCTGAGATGTGAGTGCAGGTGGATTCGGCTTCATGAGATCCTTCAGAAGTCCCATTCTCCCAGCACTTGTTCTAAACATATTGTCTTCATCTACCTGATTGAAGCTGGGTTACTGCATGTTTTCGTTCAAGTCTCAAGGACAATATTATAAGGTTGAGACTCAGAAATGAAACCCAAGGCTTTGCTCACGTCCTGTTTGCCTCAATCAGTTATAAGGGCAGAGCCATCTGCAAGGAGTCTGGGAAATACAGTTTTTAGCAGGGCGGCCACCTGTCCAACTTATACTAGAGGTGTGGGTTTTGTCAGCAAAAGGATGACAGTAAGAATATTAAGAATGCCTGCCATACCTCCTGAAACTGCTATTTCTTTTCCCATTGTATATGTATAAGAATTAAAATGAGGGGTGGCACCTATAGCTCCAGTGGGTAGGGTGCTGGCCACATACACCAAGGCTGCTGGGTTTGAACCCAGCCTAGGCCTGCTAAAACAACAATGACAACTGCAACAAAAATTAGCCAGGTGTTGTGGCAGGTACCTGTAGTCCCAGCTACTTGGGAGACTGAGGCAAGAGAATCGTTTGAGCCCAAGAGTTTAAGGTTGCTGTGAGCTATGATGCCATGGCACTCTACCCAGGGCAACAACAGCTTGAGACTCTGTCTCAAAAAAAAAAAAAAGAATTACAATGAGAAAATGGGGAGATAGATTTGGGTATAGTGTCTGGAAAATAATCAGTGTTCAATAAATGTTAGCAATTATTATCATTAAGACAAAAATACTTAATCTCAAACACTTGGAATCCGTCAGTGGCAGGAATCACCTAAATCCTTATCTAGGGTAATTAGAGCAGACAGGAGGGAGCAATTCATTTTCTACAGTGGGAAGAATAGGAAGGGAGGGAGGATTTACAGAGGAGTGACATTTGAATTAGTCTTTAAAAAATAAACAGAATTTTGCAAGGCAGAAAAGGAATAGAAGCATATTCCAGTAAAAGAAAACAGTATGAAAAAGGGTTGGGTTATAGGGAGTAGAAATAGGAAGTATTTCTCATAGTGTGATCCTTGACCCTCTGACTTCAATATCATATGGGTCCCAGCCAAGATATACAAAATAAAATATCTGGTGATGGGTCCTTGGAAAATGCATTTTAAAAAATCTGCCCTGCATACTGTTATATACACCAGGCTGAATTAGAGTGCAGTTATCCTAAGGCAGAGGATATTGGATTTTATATGGATTACAAAGGACTCTGCCACCTATTTAATCAGAAATGTTCTAGATAAACAGTGTTAGGGGATTTAAAAAGAAAATAAAACATCACCATTTTCTGAATTACATGTAAATCAGTTGCTAATTGGCCTCCTTCAATTTTTCATTCAGGACTAAGACCAACCATCTTAAGAAACATGAACCAAGAACATCTACAGTTATTACCCTGTGCTGAATTGAATAACATATACTATTCCTATTCCAAGAAACATTTGTATGTTCACACAGATTTTGCCACCATGAGGCTGGTTCTAATCTTTTTCTTGATAGCCATTTTGATTGCCAAGAAATACTGCTTGCCATTTATAGCAATAAGTGTGTGCTCCTAGAAATTCCCACAGCTTATAAAATGCCTATCGTTGTCAATATATACTGAGATTAAAAAAAAATAACCACACACATGTGACAACTAACAGAAGGACAATTTTTGCTAAGTTTACAAATCATCCTTCAATTTTGAGTTCATAAATAATCATTGCATTTCTTTCCTTTTGTTTTTTTTGTTTTGAGACAGAGCCTCTAACTGTTGCCCTGGGTAGAGTGCTGTGGCATCACAGCTCACGGCAATCTCCAACTCCTGGACTTAAGCTATTCTCTTGCCTCAGCCTCCCAAATAGCTGGGACTACAGGCAACTGCCACAATGCCCGGCTATTTTTTGCTTGTAGTTGTCATTATTCTTTTGTAGGCCCTGGCTGGATTCGAACCCGCCAGCTCTGGGGTATTGGCTGGCACCTTAGCCACTTGAGCTATAGGCGCCAAGCCAATTATTGCATTTCTTTAACCATGAATCTATGAATATTTTCTAAATAAGAAAATATTTTCTTATGAGAAAAACAATAAATTCCAGCCAAAAGATTCAAATTCAGCTATTTTATAAACCCCAATATGTGATATAATATGAATACCTACTTATAGACTCTGCTATTAAAAACTGCAGAAAAAGTTTTACAGTCCTACATCTCCTGAGGTATGGGTAAAGCTATACGAAAATGAATAACAGCAAATTAAGCTGCATGCTGTGGCTTTTCTACACTAATCGAACATCAGTTGTGCTGTGTACTAACATAGAAAGTACTGTGTTAAGACAGTCAGAATACCATAAAATGTTTTCATATTAACAAGGAATTTTTTTCATGTGCTGGGTTAATATGATGGTGCTATTTTTTTAAATGTTAGATTCTCTTAAATTATGAAAATAAATAACTTCCTATATATTTTAGGTGAAAGACAATACCTTTAACAGAGAAGAAAAGCTATTTAGATCTTTAGAAAAGACTGTGAGGCACTGTGTGAGGAACATTTCATTCTGTCTTCAACACATACAGGTAGGTGAGACACAACTGTCTTCACTAATTCTACAAGAATGCACTAATTTCCATGGTTACTATGAAGATTAAATGTGACCATTTTTTGATATAATGATACTGTATCAAATTTGGAAGGTTGCAAATGGCTTTTAAAGTAAACCAATATGAAAACCTGAGATTTGCTTTTTGTCCCCTTAATTGCTCCACCCTCTCCCCAGCCTAAATCACCATACTGTAGGACTTTTGCTCAGATGACTGCCACACTGGCCATCAGCATGATTTCTTTATAACAGAGATGACTTCAGTAAAGCAAAATTATATATGCAGCAGAAATTTTAATTGTACTAACATCTCTTTCTAGAATAAGTACGAAATAAGTACATCTCTGTCTAAAATAAGTACAAAAATCAGTACAAAGAAAAATAAAATAAACTACAAAGTAAGATGAACTCCAATATGCAACACTCCCATGTCATTATGCTACAAGGCAAAAACAACTCCACAAACTTCTAGTCTCCTAGGAGGATGTCCTGTCCATCATGAGAATCAATTTCAAACCAACTGCTGGGAGTTAAAATTATTCTCAGTAGAAAGATCAGTAAGGAGTTTCTTCTAATGAGTCTCATAAAGAGGACACAATGTCCTGAACAACATGTTCATATAAGACAGGACAAGTTAGGAGAGTTACTTGCAAATCAGTTACCAATGGCCGTTTCCATTCCCAAGGTTTTCTTTTAGGTACCTATTTCTGGTAGCAGACTTTTACCCTCTTAGATAAAATATCACACTAGCAAAGGATTCAGTTGACAAGCACAATGATTTGGAGACAAAATTCCACGTTACATAAGGGGATGCATCATTCCGTTCTTATTTATTATGGGATGTGAACACTGATTTTACAATCAGGTTTGCTGTTCTCGTCCTAAAGTGCCATCATCTGTGAGAAGAAAACCAAAACACAGTTGTAACAGCCAGAGAGCAGAGGGAAGCCTGCCCTTTATGTTCCTTTAGAGGAGAAAATGCCTCCTGGAGACATCTACGGGAAAGTCTAGTATTTTCACCTAATTGATTCAAGAAAAATGTGAGCATTTTCTCTTAAAGAGAGCATTAAATTCACTAAAGAAAGCTGATGATGTAAAGAGGAAATATTTTTAAAATGAGGGATTTGTAAGAATTGCATGAGGAAAGAATGAGGGAATTGATAATAGACTCCATTTAGTCAAGGAGAGTCTCATATGGAGTACTATGAGAAAGTGATATGGGGGAAAAGTCAGGAAATAGATTATTACAAGTACCCTAACTATACAGCATATTCATGAAATTTTTCCTTTTTTTCCTTTAATCTCTCAGTGGTAACAGAGGGTTATGATAATGAAACACATATTTGGGATGTTATTTAGTTTTAATGACCTCCGAACTTGCCCCTCTTATAACTTTGTTCTTGGGTTTCAGGATGCCATGCCGTTGGCTCTGCAGAGTGTAATGGACCTCCGAGAGATTTCATACGGTAAAGATGAAGAGGACAGAGGCTCTTCAGAGACCCTGAGTAATGCCTCAAATCCCTGTCATGACTTTGTGAGTTATTTACATTCACAGATAAATACAAATTAAATAGTGACATTGAGAGAAAAGCTGCTTTTCATTTATTTTTTAAGAGTTAAAAATAAAACACTCACTAAAGCAAATAGTAAAGTCAAAATTAGTAGATTTAAACAAGGGAATTTTTAAAAATCATTAAATATTTTTGAAGTGGCTTAGTGAGAATTTTACTATAATGGAAATTTAAGAGGACTACACACTGTGTACCTAAGAGTGGTCAGTGTAGTGCAGCTTTTAAAATCAACATTTATTCTAAGTTTGCATATGCTATAACAAGAATTTAAGTTAGAAAGTGACGATTTGCTTAAAGGAGTCTCTGGAAATGTCCTGAGTCTTTACAAAAGGAACAAAGGAAATCTCTGAGGATGTGACTTTTATTGACACATCATATCCTGGAAAACAAAGTAAGCCTTCCTGTTGAGAAAGGATTCTTACTTAAGAGCAAGTAAAAGTCCATGGCAAAATATTTTCTATGGTAAAATATGTGTTTTCTTAAGAGTTCTGTAAAAGTGTTGTATGGAAGGAGAGAAGGTTAGCACTCCCCTTGACAAGGATGGACGAGGCCCTCAGGCCTGACAACACACATATGGTTAAGGCATTACCACCGGCTTGGTAGCATCTAACCATCGTTTTTGGCTAGGAAAAATCAACATTGTTAAAATGTCCATACTACCCAAAGCAATATACAATTTTAATGCAATCCCTATTAAAGCTCCACTGTCATACTTTAAAGATTTCGAAAAAATAATTCTTCGTTTTATATGGAATCAGAAAAAACCTCCAATAGCCAAGACATTACTCAG